GAGAAGACGAGCTCTGAGAAGTGAAGAAGTACGAGCGATCGCTGCGTGCCGGAGGAGGAGCGGAAGCACCATGACGGGTTCGGCGAATCACGAAAATGGGAGAGAGAGACGATGGAAATCGGAAATCTTTTAATTTTGGTCAGATCGCTGCGACGGCACTGAGACGATCCTCGTCACGAAATTTTTCAGAGTTCAGAGATACGGCCCGGTACGGCCCGGAACGAAAAACCAATAATCGCTACTGAACCGGAAAACCACTTTCAATCATATTTAAATGCTTTGGTTTGAGTGGAGAACCGAAGATTAGAAACTTTAAAACCCAATTGGTTTTCTATGATCACATACAACTACAACTACAACTACAACTACAAACTACAAGCGTCATGCTAATTTCTGTTTCGGTTCAAACGTTTGCGAGAACGAGCGGTAGTAGACAGAAAAATTTCTGTTAATTTCTGTTTTTAGAAACTGAAAATTTAAATATATTTAAGTTTTAAACAAAATCTATGCTTATTTTTCATGCTTCCCTTTTTATATGTATTACATATTTTGCCCCATACAAAATTCTTTTCTGTATGCGCCCCTGCTCAACACAACTTGTCATCTCTTTATGGACAACCAAAAATATTCCAAAACTAACCTTTAAAATAGATCATTCCAACACTAATTTGTAGTATTTAGCGTTTCATTCATACAGTTTAAAAAAAATACTTAATATTTGATGTTAAAAAAACAAAAAAATATTGAAATCATTCAAATCTTTTTTTTTTTCGACTCAAGAAATATTGAAATCATTCAAATCTTGTATTCAGTTTTTGCCACTTTTCTTATTTGGGAAAAATGGCATTGACACCAATGGCAAGTGTGGTATAGATTGCGGAAGCACGATGTGACCGTCGAGTTGTATTAAAATTAAAATCGGCATCGTAACAAAGGATCAAAGGAATATCCTTTCTTACCACTATCCTTTGACTTCTCTAATTGCACGATAAAGTCAAATCTACAGCGCAAATCTCCGTTTATTCCTTCCTTCTTCTGTTAAATTTGAGATTTTGGCAAATCCCCATTTAAATACCCCATCAATAATCCTCCTGTCCGATTTGCAAAGTCAACTCCTCTTTTATTTTTCTTTATGTTTTCCTCTTCAGCTCTGGAAACCCAAAAAAAAAAAAAACAATTTTGTATATAAATAAGGGATCCGAATTGGCGTGAAAGAGATACCATCTGAGATTTGATTAACAGACCAAATAGGAGGAAAAATCATGGAGATTGAAGAAGCGAGTCGTGAAAGTGGGCATGTTGTGTGCGGATCATGGATTCGTCGCCCGAAGAAAGTAAACTGGGCCATTATCGCCAAAGCTGCCAAACGCCGTGGCTCATCTTCTCCTGCTCTCCTTAACATCTTCTCTTTCGATCCCGTCTCTACCTCTCTCTCCTCCTCTCCCTTGGTACTTCTTCTTCACACATTTGATTTTCGAAATTACTCTTTTTTTAATCATGGGTCTGGAACGAATCGAGAGCTTCGGAAATCTTATTGGGTTTTTGAGGTGAAATTTGGGGTTTCAAAGCTTGGCAGGACAAACCCTCTTCTTTTGGTATTTACTTTGGTTTGACTAATGAAAGCAAAAACCTTTTTTTCTTCTTTCTGTGATCAAAGGCAACACATACGCTTAAAGAAAGTGATGGCGATCCTGTGGCGATTACAGTGCATCCTGCTGGAGATTTTTTTGTTTGCTCTACCTCCAAAGGTGGTTGCAAGTACGTTTCTTCCTTTGATACTATCTTTCTAATTTCGTTGAGCTGGTATTGTTAAACCTTGGATAGCTTCTCGATCTTGTCCTGAGAATTAGACATCAGATGATTAAATCTGAACATCATATTGCTTCTCTTATTACATGAGACTTGTAATACTATCTTTCACCCCTTCCACTTTGCTGCTGTAGATGTGTTTGTAGTGATGCTTGAATTTTGGGTGTGTGTTTAGGTTTGGTTTATTGTATATGAGTATATCTGCCTATAGATTCGTTGGAGACGTTTGATAATCTTTGTACCTTTTATAACTTGTTGCAAGTACGTTCCTTCCTCCGATACTATCTTTCTAATTTCGTTGAGCTGGATAAACCTTGGATAGCTTCTCGATCTTGTCTTGATAAGTAGACATCAGATGGTTAAATCTGAACATTATATTGCGTCTCTTAGTACATGAGACTTGTAATACTATCCTTCACCCCTTCCGCTTTGCTGCTATAGATTTGTTTGCAGTGATGCTTTTAGGTTTGGTTTATTATATATCTGCCTATAGATTTGTTGGAGACATTTGTACATCTTTGTACCTTTTATAACTTGTTGGCCTCTTTCTAGTCGTGATCCTTGTTTGAAATCTTGACTTCCCTTTCCTGCGTACATCTTTTGCAATTCAACTATTCCCTCTCGTTAAGGCATACTAGAGAATTGGAATTGTCTTTCAACATTGTGGACGCTATCTGCTTCATTGTCTTTACAAATTTTGGTTTACGGTCTAGATGCTATATATTAATTATATGGTTCTCAGGTTGTTTGAGATTGTCGGAGGTGCAAGAGGTATTACGATCTTAGCCAAAGAACTCCCTCCTCTCCAAAATGCTGGACTACAAAAGTGTATGGCCTTCAGCTTTGATGGGTCTAAATTAGCTGTTGGGGGAGTGGTAAGGAGGGACCAAAACTGCGTTATAAGGGCTTTTTTGTTTTCCGCTGTTGACAATTTTTGTTGTATCTTACTTACTTTAAACTATTTTCAGGATGGGTGCCTCAGAATTATGGAGTGGCCAAACCTTCGTGTGATTTTGGATGAGCCAAAGGCACACAAATCCATCCGGGATATGGATTTCAGGTAATGACCGGAATCTTCTCCCACATCATCCCACCTTTTATATTCTTTTCCATTTAAAGCATACTTGAGCTAGTAAAAAATGGTCTTTTATATATTCTCCTCCGATTGTGTGCATCTCTCTCATATCTGCGTCTTTTGTTGTAGTCTTGACTCAGAGTTCTTAGCCACAACATCAACTGATGGATCAGCTAGAATATGGAAAGCAGAAGATGGTTTTCCTTTGTCTACTTTGGAACGTAGTGGGGTATGTGTTTGTGAGAGTTAAAGTTTGCATTTGAATCCCTATATTTCTAAAATAATTATATATCCAATGATAATCTGCATGAAGGATGTTCATGTCTAATACATATAAATCTGAATTGTCATTTGCTTCGTGTCTCTTTCCCTTTTGCGTAACATCTTCATATTTTGCATCTACTGGCTGTTATAACCTGATTCTGATATCCTCATGTGTGCAGGATGAAAACATTGAGCTGTGCCGTTTCTCTAAAGATGGAACAAAACCTTTTCTCTTCTGTGCTGCCCAGAGAGGTATATAATGATATAATATAGCGACTCTCGAGTAAACTACTACAAGCATCACTAGTGTTTTTAAATTCAGAACAACATATGAAAGTTTTAAACAAATTGGAATCAGGTGATATTCCTGTGGTCAATGTTTATGACATCAGTACATGGAAGAAGCTTGGGTTCAAGAAGCTGTCAAGGAAGACTGCATCGACAATGGCAGTGAGCTTGGATGGCAAATATATTGCATTGTGAGTGCTTATTCACCCCGGATCTGGTTATTGCTTTCAGGCTTTAGGGTTTTACAAAAGGTTAAATATTTTGCACCTTGTTTTGTTGTAGGGGTGGCAAAGATGGAGATGTATCTGTCGCTGAGGTTAAGACAATGGAAATTTACCACTACAGTAAGAGGCTACATCTTGGTCAGACCATCGCTTCACTTG